TTCCTGAGCTAACATGACTGGAGGAGGAATTCTGGAAGTTGAAGCCCGCAGGTCTTCAAGCTTGGCAAGTTTGAAGCCCCCTGTGCTAAACCTATCCCAAGTTTCTTCTTTTTGCTGAAGACCAGGGTCAACCTGGGATGGTCAGGGAGGGTTTGAGGCTCTCTGAACTGCTCGACACAGTGGCCTGGAGCTGGGTTGGGAGTCTTCAACTCGTACAACCCTTGGCTAGCTCAGCCGAGATAGGAGAGGGACGTTGTGGTCAGTGGTTGGGTGGAGAACCCAACTTTTGGCAGATTCTTGCCTACTATCTTGCTACCACTCCAGGGACCACAGGCCTGGCCTGTGATGTCCATGAGCCCCTCTGCCCAATTCCTGATCCTGTTCTGAGTTCCATTTGCATACTCTTGTTTTAGAAGTCAGTAGTCTAAAGGCACGTGGGGGAGATGACACCCCGAGCCATTACTAAACCGTGCGAAATGTGTGTGTGACTCAATTGATGCCTACAAGGCCAGGTTAGTTTTCTTGAAATGAGGAAATTCTGAGCCCCTCCCCACCCCCACCAAACAAGTGAAGGATGGGAGGGAGATCCTATGTGTAGGATGACACTGCACAGGAACAAAGCTATAGGTAGCTTGCAGAAGTCCCAACGTAAGGACGCAACATGGGGGAAACCAGCTCACACCTTCTGCACTGAGCCCTAAAAAACCTGCTGTGTTTCCTACACAAATCTCAACCTTTGGATGGAAAGGGCAATAAAGCATCCATCTGATGGAAAGACCGATCCAGGGAGTTTTTCCCTTCTCCCCACACCTTCCAAACGTGATAGAACCTAGTTGAGGACATACAATTTGAGTGACGATGGCTGATGCTACCCTCCTCATTTCACTGCTTATGGAGTCAGCTCAAGACTCCACACGCTCAATGAGAAAGCAAGTGAACGGAGAACATGTTGGTATGTTGTGATGGAACCTTCTCCATCCATGCTTGGATGGGGAGAAAGGAGGCCCTGCATACCTTCTCAACGCTCAACGCCTCTGCTTCAAATCAAAACCCAACCGAGGAGAATCTTAACCCAACGTGTTTTCGGGTCTAGAAGGCAACAACGTTGGAATTGATATGGGATATTTGTCTACTGTAACTATACCAAGCAAAAACAGAAACCCCCCAACAGGCTTGGAGGTCTCCCCACCCCTCACCTGGCAGCAGTTTGTGTGTTATCCAAAACAACTGGCTTTAAAAAAAAATAATAGTGAAAAAGTCAAGAGTTAGTATCCCTTGAGGAAAACCAAAGCTTTTTCCTGGGCGCGTCTGAGATTCTTCAAGAGTCGCCTTGCATGGTTGCTGGCCAAGGTCCTTCCCCTTCCTTGTCCCGCAGGAGGAGGAGGACTTTACGCTAAAAGCTGAACTTCCACACGGCATCTGAAAAGCTTTCCAGGGATCATGGAGGCTTGAAAGGGGTTTTTTTTGAGACCAAAACCACACAAGCGGTTTCCTATGAAAGGCAGAGTGTGAGGACGACTTCCGGTTCGAAGCGGCGATGTTAATCGGGCCTTCGGTTTCTTGAGCATCAGCCCTTGGAAGGGATAATAAACGCATGAGAGGAGAGACGCAGGTGAACCAACCGTTGAATCTTTGCAATGACCGTGGCGAGCAGCGTTTCCAATCGGAGGCTTTTCTTGGACAGGTGGGAGGGAAGCGTTCACAGTGGTGTAGACTAGGCAGTGGAGAAAGGATGGGTCAAACCACGCTCGGCAAACCGTGGGCGCCCGGTAACGAGAGCCGTCCTGAGTTGCCGTCCCTCCCGGGGAGCTGTTGCACGTGGCAAGACAGTCAATCCCGTGTCCTTCCAAATATCGTTGGCATCACCTTCCCAGATCCCACATAAAGTGCCCAATTATGAAGTACCTCGGGGCAAGGGAGGAGTGCTTGGATTGCAAAAAAAAAATAAAAAATAAAAAATTGAGAAGTCCTGCCCGGAATGTTATGTGCGGAGAAGATTAAAAAGAAAGGGAGAAAGAAAAACGGGGTTGGGTGGGGTGGGGAGGAAAGGACCCCACTCCACCCCCCTAACCGCAGAGACAGGTTTCCATCTGGGGTAGTTCACATTTAATGGGTTTCGATGACCACTGGCTCGTAAACTCCAGACGAGACTCTGCAGGAGAAAAAAGCAGGAGAAAAAAAAGACACTGTGATAGAAGAACGTGTGGTTTTAAAAGAACGGAAGGAAGAATGACTGAAACTAAGAAACGTGGACCGGTTTGGGGCTCCAGGTGTACAGAGGTACACTTAGAAATTTCCTGCATTCTTCCTAGAAATGAGGCTTAAACCCCAAGTATTGAAAAGCGACTGTTGCAGGACCGTACCTGTTTGCTAGCTGAATCCCACTTAGGGTAGTTGTGCCATCTCGGCTCACAAACAGCCTCAGGTTACTATCTGGAAGACAAAAAAAAAGAGGAGGGGTGCAATTGCAGAGATATCCAGAAGGCAAATTAGATTAGATTAACAGAGTTGGAAAGGGACCTTGTAAGTCATCTAGACCTAAACAGGAGATCCTACACCATTTCTGACAAATGGCAGTCCGGTCTCCTCTCGAAAGCCTCCAGGGGTGAAGCTCCCACAGCTTCCGAAGGCAACTTCTGTTCCATGGGTTGATGGTTCTCATTGTCAGGAAATTCCTCCTTATTTCCAGGTTGAACCTCTCCTTGATCAGTTTCCATCCATTCTTCCTTGTCTGGCCTTCGGGTGCTTTAGAAAATAGCTTGACCCTTTCCTCTCTTGGGCAACCCTTCAAATATTGGAAGACTGCTCTCATGTCTCCCCTGGTCCTTTTCTTCCCCAGACTAGTCAGGCCCTGTTCCTGTAACCGTTCTTCATTTGTTTTAGCCTCCAGTCCCCTCAATCATCCTGGTTGCTCTTCTCTGCACTTTTTCTAGAATCTCAACATCTTTTTTATAGTGTGGTGACCAAAACTGGATGCAGTACTCTAGGTGTGGCCTTACTAAGGCCTTCTTACAAGATGTTGGGAAAATGCCAGCTCGGCTGGAAGGAGGGGTCAAACAGGGACCTAGCTTGGAATCCTTGCGCAGCTGCAAGAGGCATAAGCTGGAACTTGCCCAAGAGCTATGAATCTGGTCCTGTCCAGGGGAAAGCAAGCAGTCCGGAAAGATTCTTGTAACTCAGGCAGAAAACAATAAAGTTGCTTTCTTCAGCTACTTACGAGCGGGCTTTGGTTGCTTGCACCTAACAAAGGAACGCCTGCCACAGGGGTTTGGGCTCTCAATCCCAGAATCCCCCAGCCAAGGCTTAGAAATTCTGGGAGATGAAGTTCAAGGCAGTTCAAGGTGAAGTTGGAAAGTTGGAAGGCTGCACGAGGGGCGAAGGACAACCGGAAGGAAGTTTCTTTAGGGGGGTGGGTGGGACATCTCACCTTCAGTGTTGCTGACGTTGGTGAAATCTTGGCTTTGCATGATCTTCTCCACAATGTCACCTGCGTCGATCCGGGTGTCATCGACCCAAGTGGGGTGGCTTTCTACTGAATCCTTTTTCCTTCTGCAGAGAAAGAGGCAAACAAAGATAGGGGGAAATAGGCAACCAATCTCTAGTGTTTGCAATGAAATGACCTTTAATGGCCGGGCTTATTTTAAGTTGGATGAGATGTTCTCCTCCAGTGGTGGTATGCTACCGGTTCAGTGGGGAAGAACGGGGACCAGTCCGGGAGTCTGGGGAGGACTCGAATGAGGTCTTGCGTCCGATGCAGGGATGGGGCCAGGACCATCTGGGAGTGGGGTGCTGATTCCAGAGCCTCCAGAGTCTGGCAGCAGCGAGGCAGAGGAACAGGGGGAGCCTGTTCCCAGAGCACGTATGTGCAGAGCTGCTAGAAGGCAAGAGCAGCTGAAACAAAAGGGGTGACTCGGGAGTAAGGCTGGGAGGTGATTGCCCCTCCCATAAGGGATAAAGGAAGTGCAAAGGTAGAGAAACCTTTGCAGGAAGCAAAGTCATTTGCTCTGTTCGGATTAATAGTTGAAGCTCTGTGTGGACTTTATACTTTGTTTGGCTTTTTTTTTTTTCAGTTAATTTGGCACTTAGTAGCAATTCAAAGGAGAGAAAGGTGGGTGCTTATCTCGAGGGACTGTTTGGGACTCATTACAGGTTGGGAATGAACATAATTCCCAGCGTTGAAATAAAACAAGAGTTGTTTTAACTAAGTGTGTGCTTAATTACGGCCTTGGGAAACCTTGGTCAGAACAGGTGTGTGGGGGGGGAGATCGCTCCTAATGTTTTGTTTCTTCATCCTCTCAGCCGATTGGCTTGTTAGGGGCGCGCGCACACATGCGATCCTCCCCCGAACTGGTGGTGACTAAGGTAGGATCCCACTACTGTTCTCTTTCTGCCGTTCCATCTCACTGTACTTACCGAGAAGATCTGTCTGACAAAAGGTTTGGCCTGGGGGGTCTTGGTGGCTTCTCCAATCTGTGCTCCCGTTCGCCCTCCGGGCATTCGACCGTCATGCTGAGACCTCCGGAGGCGCTGCTGCTGGTGGACGTGTTCCGGCGGTGGGTCAGGTCCGACAGACTGGAGGATCTGGAGTGCTCGGTACTGTATCCTGCAAATGAGAACATCAGGGCAACGTCAACGGGCAGGCCGGGAACCATCTGAACCCAGCATTTTGTTCCCAACATGGCCCACCCGAAGAACACCTGAAGGTCCTTAGCAGGAGACGGGAGATGGACCTCTTCTGCATCTTCTTCTGATGTTACCTGAGACTTGAAAACAAGCTACTTTCACTGCAGAGGTGATCTTTAGTTTTCAGGACTAATAAGATAAACCGATTATCATGCAGGATAAACCAATCCTAATGAATTTAGCCACCTCCCTCTCCATTTAACAGCAACTCAGTCGGAACAGAGCTGGAAGGGACCTTGAAGGTCTTCTAGTCCACCCCCCTGCTGAAGCAGGAGAACCTATATTATTTCAGACAGGTGGCTATCAACTCTCTTCTTAAAAAACTCCAGGGATGGAGCATCCACAACTTCTGGTGGCAAGCTGTTCCACTGGTTAATTGTCCTCACTGTAGGAAGTTTCTCCTTAGTTCTAGGTTGCTTCTATCCTTGGTTAGTCTCCATCCATTTCCTTCCTTCCTTCCTTCCTTCCTTCCTTCCCTCCCTCCCTCCCTCCCTCCTAAGGGGATAAAACAAGGACCCTGATTGTTGGGGGACAGAGGCTGACTCTGTAAACTGCTTAGAGAGGGCTCCTTCCTTCCTTCCTTCCTGAATCACAGGACTGCAAGAGACCTTGGAGGTCTTCTAGTCCAGCCCCCTGCTCAAGCAGGAGAACCTATACTGTTTCAGACAAGTGGCTGTCCAGTCTCTTCTTAAAAACCTCCAGTGATGGAGCGCCCATGATTTCTGGTGGCAAGCTGTTCCACTGGTTAATTGTCCTCACTATTAGGAAGTTTTCTCCTTTAATTCCAGGTTGCTTCTCTCCTTGACTGCTTTCCATCCGCTGTTTCTTGTCCTGCTTCTCTGGTGCTTTGGAGAATAAAATTGACCCTCTCCTCTTTGTGGCAACTCCTCAAATACTGAAAAACTACTATCATTTTCCCCCCTAGTCTTTCTTTTCTCTAGACTGGCCAAACCCAACTCCTGCAGCCGTTCTTCATATGTTTTAGTCTCCAGGCCTTTAATCGTCTTAGTTGCTCTTCTTTGCAGTCCAGTTCTTCTTTTTTCCAAAGTCTCAACCTCTTTTTTGTAATGTGGTGACCAAAACTGGATGCGGTATTCCAAGTGTGGCCTTACTAAGGCTTTATTAAAGCGGTACTAATTCTCCATCAGAATGCCTTGGGCTGTGAATATCCCAAATTTACAGCAATAGTGTATATTTATCTATTAAACACCCCAATAAAAAAAACGACGACGACAAAACCCAACAATTCTTGCTGGCTTAGCTAGAATAAAATAAATATCATTCTTTAAAAAAAAATAACTTGTATGCCAAATCTGACTCCAATGACCCCTGAGTAAAAACTAAAATAAAAATAAATTAAAAAAAAAAAAACTAGGAACAAAAAATAGTTTTTCAAATATTCATGATAGAAAGGGCAGATAAATCCCCAATTTGGAAGGGGACTCAGTATCCCATATGGATGCCATAAATGGATGGTCTTGAGTGTATTTATTAAACATTGCCACCTCAGTAGTAAAAAGAAAGTGAAAACCTTCTTCCTGGTTAAGCTAGGATAAAAAAAAATCAAAAATTTAAAGAATTACTATTGCATTTGTAAAAAAATATCATTTTGTTTTAGGTCTGGTTCTGCCTGGGAAAAAGACCGTTAGAAATTAGACCTCCACTCTGATCGGCTTATGAAAACTCAGCTCTTGATGGGATGGACACTAACCAGAGATTCTGGACTGTTGGCTGGCATAGCTTGAATTTCGCGAGTGGCCAGAATGAAACACTTCTTCTGGACTTGATAAGTTCTGGTCTGGTTCTTCTAAAACCCCTGGAAAGGAAATAATAATAATAATAATAATAATAATAATAATAATAATAATAATAATAATAATAATAAGCTGCGGAGCTGATCATCTTTCATCAAGTGAAATAAGGAAGCTGAATGATCTAAACTCTAAAAGGTAAAGGGTTAGGGTTCTAAAAGCGAAGAAATTTTGGAATAAAATATATATATATATGGTATTCAGCTTTGTTCGGGTATTTTCCCACGTCATTGTAGTTGTGCTTTTAAAGTTGTAGCAACGTTTCGGCAGAATCTCATCTGCCATCATCAGGCTTCTGTATAGTGTTCGTCTGTGAGTCAGACTTTTACAGCGGTTTCAGTTTTAAATTTGGGGCTAGCCTACTGCTGTGCCAGAATGGTTTTTTCTTTATCCTGATTGGTTGGGAGTCTTGGTCTGTGTTTATTGGTCTTGGAGTTTGCTGTGTTCTGCTTGATTGGTGTTTCTAATATCTTCTATCTGTTTTGTGGCTTTTTTTGTGTCTTGATTGGCTGGCAACATTGTGTTCCTGTATTGGAGGCTTTTAGTGCAGCTTGGCTCTGAGTAAATGGATGGCTATCATTAGTTAGGAAGCTAGGTTTCATCTGGGTGCCTGGTTGGGATGTGTTTGAGCTGGAGGTATCAGGGGGGGTCTGTTTGTGCCCAGGTGTTTGCCTGGCTTGTGGTGTGGAGATTTTTTTGTGAGTGCAGGCTTCCAAATGATTGACAGTCTGGTGGAATCATCTCTTCTCTCTCTCTCTCTCTCTATATATATATATATATATAATATATATGTATGTATGTAAATGAAAATGGAAAAGTCGATGCCACAACTTACCGCAAAAAATTGTATATATGATTTGTTTTTAAAAGTGTAAAAATTTATTAAAAGTAATTAAAAAAAAAAAAAGAAGTAAGGAAGCTGAATGGTCTAAACTCTAAAAGGTAAAGGTGCACATATGTGCTCGTCATTTTCGGCTCTAGGGGGCGGTGCTCATCTCCGTTACAAAGCCGAAAAGCCAGCGCTGTCCGAAGACGTCTCCGTGGTCATGTGGCCAGCATGACTGAATGCCAAAGGCGCATGGAACGCTGTTCCCTTCCCACCAAAGGGATTCCTAATTTTCTACTTGCATTTTTTAACATGCTTTTGAACTGCTAGGTTGGCAGAAGTTGGGACAAGGAACGGGAGGGAGCTCACTCTGTGACGCGGCGCTAGGGATTCGAACCGCCGAACTGCTTGAGCTTTCTGATTTACAAGCTAAGCGTCTTAGCCACTGAGCTACCACACCCCTTATAGGTCTAGACTCTAAACCAAAGCTATTAAAAATTTAGACCCCATTTTTGCATTTGTGGGGGAGGGGGGGAGGAAGGAGGAGAACTGCGTAAGTGACTTAATCCCTTCCAATTTTGAATCTTTCTCTCCCAAATTTGGGACCGGGTAAGGAAATCGCCCTTGGTTCATACCTGACCCCAGGATGGTGGCCCTGGGCTTGTTCTGACGGACGGAACCGATCGAAGACGCTGCATTGGTGCTGGGAGTTACAGTCCGGCTGGTTCCCTCCCCTTTGCAGGTGAGCTCCAGGCTCGAGTCTTGTCCTGGGATGGCCACGGATTTGGCCGTGGAAGGTGGGCTGCGAAAAGGCAGAAAAGGGCTTATTATTGGAAATAATAAGGCTGGGGTGGCCGTCTTGCACAACCGCCTTGATTGAGTGGCTAAGAAACCAAGCTAGAAACTGGGAGACGGTGAGTTCTAGTCCTGTCTTAGGTACAAATGCTGGGTGAACAACTTTGTATCAATCACTAGGAGATGGTGAGTTCTAGTTCTGCCTTAGGCATGAAAGCTGGGTGAATGATTTTATATCTATCTCTAGGAGATGGTGAGTTCTAGTGCTGCCTTCGGCATGAAAGCTGGTTGGATGACTTTAGAGCAATACCAGGAGAGGGTGAGTTTTAGTGCCGCCTTACAGCTGCTTGACTTTGGACCAATACCAGGAGATGCTGATTCTAGTACCACCTTAAGCATGAAAACCGCCTGAGTGACTTTGGGCCAGTCCCTCTCTATCAGCCCCACCCACCTTACAGGGTTGTTGTTGTGGGGGAAAACAGGAGCAGGAAGGTGTGTTGGATGTATTCACCACCTTGAATTATTTGCAAAAAATAATCAAGGCGGGATACAAATAAACGAATAAAATCATTGAAGATCCAGCCAGGTCAAACTTGGGCAGCGAGCGGAAGGTGGAACGAGAGGGCTGCCTAAGAAAGGCCCAAATTTAATCAAAATTCTTGAGGAGGGGAGAATAAAAATAAAACCAACCACCCAACAGCAGAAATCTTGGATTGAAGATGGAAATATAAAAGCACTGGAAACCGAGCAATCTGGGAATAGGCTGAAATTTCCTCTTTTCTTCCCCCCATAATTTGAAAAGGTGTTTTTTAGCCTTACACACACGGGTGGGATTCTACAGGTTCGCACTTATTCGCTACAACTGGTTGTTACCATTCTAAGCAGTTCGGAGAACCGACTGTTAGAAGAAATTACTGGGCTAATCCTGTAAGGAAGGCAGGAAGGAAACATTCTGGTGTTGCTTACAGAAACTGCCTCTCCGTTAACCCTTATTACATTCTTGGCAGGACTAGACTTCCTGTCTCAGGAACTTCTCTGGAGTTTTTTTCCCCTCCTTTGCTGGTACTTTGCTTGTGTGGAGTGACCATTCAAAGTTACAGTGGCACTGAAAAAAGCGACTTATGACCATTTTTCACATTTACGACTGTTGCAGCATCACCACAGTTATGGGAGGCCAGGCGAGGAGATACATGCCTCGAAGTGAGTGATATTGAGTAGGCCACGCCCAGCCAATAACATGACCACCAAGCCACGCCCACCAACTGAGCCACACCCACGGAACCGGTTAAAAAATTTGAATCCCACCCTTGCTTACACACCTTTGTGACACCGGTGGACTTCAACCAAGCTGGTGACAAGGTCTTGCAACCACCCCCACCCCACCCACATACACCTACACAACAGGTGTGTTTCTTTTCCTGCTGCCTTGGTTACCGGTATGGAATTGCCAACACCTTTTGCCTACTGCATGCCACACCCCTGCCAGGTATGCCTGAGCTGCTGGTAGCTAATCAGCAGCCACCTCCTTGGAAAGTCAACAACCACATACCTGTTGCTTTGTTCAACAATTTTAAAAAATATCTCTTTTATTTTTCGCAAATCTAGGTGCCCTGGGATAATGTTGCAGGATCCAATCAGTTTGGTTACTGGGACCAAAGGTTTTAAGTCTTCCAAATTCTTGGATTTGTGCTAGAGCACCCATTCTTCAGGGAATGTGTGCTGTTCTGTGTGTGGTATTTATATGGTGCCTGGTTGCGTGCGGCTTTTTAGAGGTTGACGGGTGTGGGGATGGCTGGCTTCTAAATAGTTGGTTGTTGTTTGCTTGCTCACCTTTAGTTTACTTCATTGTCATTGCAATGGAATTAAATACCATCTTCAGTGTACATTACGACTATGAACATAAAACACAAACACACATCCTATGCAATTGAATTGAAAAACCCCTGATATTGCACTAATATTGCACTATACAGCAGAATTCAACCGAGCTACTGCCCTGGGATAGAAGCTGTTTTTCAGCCTATTTGGCCCTGTTTTTATTATTGTCCTGTACCATCTACCAGATGGTAATAGTTCAAAAAAAAAAGGGTGCCCCTTTGATGAGACGGATCTTTGAAAATGTTTTGAACGTTCTTAAGGCAGCGGGAGCTATAAAACTCTTCCAAAGAGGGGAGATGGCAACCCATGATCCTCTGGGCAATGATGTTCACCCTCTGGAGTGTTTTCCGATCTATCAAGTACCTTCTAAGTACTTGTGAGGCTGCTGATAAATCAGCACTCCCTTTGATTGACAAGGGGCCTGTTTGCCCAGGCTTCAATCTCTGGCTGTTTTTGTCCCGGCTCGCCCAACAATCTTAGTAGCTGCAAAATTCGAATCTGTGCATTGCGGGGGGTGAGGCTACCAATGAGTTCAGAACACTCTGCTAGAGAAAAATTCCCTGAAGATGGGCTCCAGCAGGAAAACTCGGAAGACGAAAGCTCCGGTTCTGGAGACCAACTCAGGTTGGATCCTCTTTCTGTTTTTCTCCTTTCCAATCTTCCTCAACCCAGGCTGGTAGTTGCTACTAGCAAGGTATCAGAGGGGATATCCAAGAGCTATGGAGATATCCTAGCCTTTGAAACGCCCTCCCCGAAGGGTTTT